CACGAAAGGGTGAACTGTTATTGGATGAGGGAAAGGCTGTGCATGTTGTTTACCCTGACTTCAGGAAGGCCTTTGACACCATTTCCCACAGCATTCTCCTGGTGAAACTGGCTGCTTGAGGCTTGGATGGGCACACGCTTTGCTGGGTAAAAAACTGTCTGGATGGCCGGGCCCAAAGAGTTGTGGTGAACAGAGTTAAATCCAGTTGGCGGCCGGTCACGAGTGGTGTCCCCCAGGGCTGGGTTTTGGGGCCACTCCTGTTTAACATCTTTATTGATGATCTAGACGAGGGGATCGAGTGCACCCTCAGTCAGTTTGCAGATGACACCCAGTTGGGTGGGAGTGTTGATCTGCTCGAGGGCAGGGAGGCTCTGCAGAGAGACCTGGACAGGCTGGAGCCATGGGCTGAGCCCAACTGGAGGAGTTTCAATCAGGCCAAATGCCGGGGGCTGCCCTTGGGCCACAACAACCCCCAGCAGTGCTACAGGCTTGGGGAGGAGTGGCTGGAGAGCTGCCAGTCAGAGAGGGACCTGGGGGGGTTGATTGACAGCCGGCTGAACAAGAGCCATCAGTGTGCCCAGGGGGCCAAGAAGGCCAATGGCATCCTGGCTTGTGTCAGCAATAGCGTGGCCAGCAGGGACAGGGAAGGGATCTGACCCCTGTACTCGGCACTAGTGAGGCCGCCCCTCGATTCCTGTGTTCAGTTTTGGGCCCCTCACTACAAAAAGGACATTGAATGACTCGAGCGTGTCCAGAGAAGGGCAACGGAGCTGGTGCAGGGTCTGGAGCACAGGTCGTACGGGGAGCGGCTGAGGGAACTGGGGGTGTTTAGTCTGGAGAAGAGGAGGCTGAGGGGAGACCTCATCGCCCTCTACAGCTCCCTGAAAGGAGGTTGCAGAGAGCTGGGGATGAGTCTCTAACTGAGCAATAAGCAATAGGACAAGAGGGAATGGCCTCAAGTTGTGCCAGAGAAGGTTTAGACTGGATATTAGGAAGCATTTCTTTCCAGAATAGATTGTTGGGCATTGGAATGGGCTGCCCAGGGAGGTGGTGGAGTCCCCATCCCTGGAGGTGCTCAAGAGTTGGGTTGACATAGTGCTGAGGGATATGGTGTAGTTGGGAATTGTTAATGTTCAGTTGATGGTTGGACTGGATGATATTAAAGGTCTCTTCCAACCTAAACAATTCTGTGATTCTGTGAACTGAAATACAGACAGAATACACTGTTCAAATTGTTTTAGCATTTGGGCACCTTTGAGAGCAACTGACTGATGTATCACTACAACAACACAAAGATAACTTTAACGTTACAGAATCGTCTAGGTTGGAAATGACTTTGAAGACCACCTAGTTCAGACAGCATGAGGTTTTTAAGTTCTTGTATTTCTACAAAACATAACAAAGTTAATGCAACATCCTAAACAAAGTGGAGCGCCCAGAGGACAAAGCAAGGTAGAGCTCACATTTCTTGATTTTCATCCTGACCTCACACTGGCATTGAGACTATACATATATTTCTCTGCATCACAGTTTGTTGTGGAATGGAAGGACAAAATTTATAAAGGGGTGCTCTTGCTCATGCCAGCTGAGCACTGAAAGCACGCTTTGTGGACTGCAGAAAACAAGAAGTCTTGTGCATTGTTCTCTCATTTTAAAAAAGTGAAATTCACCCATTTCAAAATGCGTATTTACAGAAGAGCAGCAAATCCCTATTGTGTGCTACTGGCCTTCAAGGCAACACAGAATAATGGCCAAAGCACCTAGCAAGGACTTCATTTTCCTCCTGCATGTGATATAGCTTTACCAAACATGTTCCTTATGCTTCTTATGATGGGGATGTCACTCCCAGGCTGCTAAAGATATGGTGTTTGCTTGGCCAGAGTCTTCTCTGCTTATTTTGTGGCTATCACATTAGTCAGCAACGTGCATTCCTGCTGAATACTGAGGGAGGGGGATTTGCCCCATGCACAATCACACAAGAGTTAGCAATTACCTATATATCACTAAGGAATTGCTTCCTAACAAATGTTTTGAGCTTCTAAGAAAAATCATGGAGAAAAAAATTGGCCTTTTATTACTCCAATCCTGATAACACCTAATCACTGACACTTCAAAGAACCATTAAGCTTTGCTACTACCAATTCTGGCACGATTCTTTGATGCTCATAATAAAATTACATTCAGCAAATACACTGCATTATTTAAAGCCACTAAACAGTTTCTTTCTAAGACAAACTAACATCATTATTCAAATATTACACAATTCATATTAAAGGCTTTTGTTTTTTTTCCCCATGCCCAGCTTCACAGCTTCTGTCCTGAAGGTCTTGGATATAATTCCACCATGGTTTACAATATAATTATTTCTAGTTATTTGTAACTGCTTAACATCTTATTATGATTAATATGTATTTTCTCTGTTTCGGATTAAACACTGCTCCCTTATACAGATTTAGAAAACAGTATTCAAAACATACTCTGTCCAAGGCCCTGGTGGCAGCAACTTCTTCTTACAAGACCTCAACGGGTGGCCACAGCTCAGCCCTCTGCAATAGTCACAGGTTTGGGACATACAAGTCAAAACCATTCAGGCTCACAAAGATAAGCATAAAAAACAAGGCATCAGTGTCATTTCCCACAGAGGTAGTTACAAATACCAATAATTATAATTCATCTCCATGGACTCTGCACTGAAGTCAATAGAATTCAACATGTGCCAAGACCTTCCTCTTGCTTGATGTTTAATACTGTCAGAGACAGATGACACTAGAATATTTACACACAGGAGTTGGGATCTCGTCTGCTTCCATTAAAACTGGGTATGAGGAAAATTATCTACATGTAGAAAGTACAGGGTGAAAAGAAAGAAGTGAAAGGTATGCTGATGTTTCTCAGTACTTGGGATTTTCTTGAAGGTGTATGCTTTCACCCCCCTAAAATTACTTTGAAGGTTTCTACAGTATTTGCTGACTTTCTGTAATAACCAACATGTAAAAGTTTTCCAGCAAGGTGTTTCTGTTTCATTTCTGATATAAAATTATAGACTCATAGAATGGTTTGGGTTGTAAGGGACCTTAAAGTTCATCTCATCCCAACGCCCCTGCCATGGGCAGGGACACCTTCCACTAGCCCGGGTTGCTCAAAGCCCCGTCCAACCTGGCCTTGAACACTGCCAGGGAGGGGGCAGCCACAGCTTCTCTGGGAAACCTGTGCCAGGGTCTCACCACCCTCACAGTGAAGGATTTCCTTACATCTAATTGAAATCTACCCTCTTTTATTTTAAAGCCATTATCCCTTACACTATCATAAGAAAGAAATGCTGGTTTCAAGATACTAATACAATGATGCTGTTTCATGTGAAGAAGTTAAAATATATTTAATTTTTTTAAGCACATGTTTGTTTCTTTTGAAAGAATTCCAGAGCCACAACTTTTTAGATGTGAAAACCAGAAGAGTAGGAGAGGCTAGAACATGTTGCTGAGACCTCTGAGTACATAAGACAAGCATGATCTAAGTCTATATGCTTAGAAGATATCACTAGTCAGTTGCAAAGAAAAAAAATTTAAAAGTCAAGCACACCAAAAAGGAGATTAATATACTTGCTAATACCAATAAGGCGAAGGAAAAATAATCTAGAAGGTGGCATCATTCAGCTTTCAAGTACATACAAAACAGACATAGGAGTTTCCTTACTTTGAATTTTTAAGTGATTATGAAATGCTGAAACTGGTGACAGTAGAGGAAAAAGTCAACCAAATAACAGTGCAGGCTTGCCTTTTAGTGGAAAGGAGGCAAAACTCTGTTATGCTCTTTGAATCACGAAAATTATTCTTGATTTCAACACAGTGTTTTTGCAGCCCATTGCCTTTCAAATCCCTTAGTATTCAGAAAGCCATACAACTGAAACACTAAAACAATTAGATGCTAACAGTATTTCTAACTTTTAATCATTGTAATAATACCTAGCTGATAGGCAATATACTGTATTAAATTTTAAGTACAGGTAGACTAAATGAAATAGGTTTAATCACCAGATTGAAAAGGACACCACAGTCAGATACAGACTTAAACCACAGACCTCTACCAAGATTCCATCCCATCTAATCGAATCAAATCCAATCCACTAGTGGTGTTTTGGAGAGTTTTTTGGGAGGTGGGGGGATGTTTTCCTTGTCTTACAGTAATTGGCATGCAAGTTAGGACTTCATAGAAAAGTTCAAAGCTAAATCCGTGTATATCCAAAGAAGCGGAATACTAAACATAAATGATAACGACCAATAATGGGTGTTGTATTATCTATCATTATGTTTTTAATTACCTTCCACAGTTTCAAATGCACAGACTCCAAGTTTGTGTTGTGCTAAAGTATTACTGTTACGTTTTCTTTCTTTTCATGAAAAAGAAGTTCCTTTCATTCTCCACAGACTCAATTGTTAAGAAACAACCATCCTGTTTGTTACTGCAAGACAAATATTACTGTGTATGCTGTGATTATGATTCTCATCTAATGCAAGATATCACATTACAGTCTATTTGATGAAACAGAATTTCCCTGGAACACCACTACCACACTTTTGAAGATGTCATCGTACATCGTACCACAGGAGTAAAGTAGTCACTAAAAAATACAGAAATCTCAGATGAGCAGAACACTTAGGAATTATGTTCTTTCTGAAAATCAACTACTGACTAGAAAAACTGTGCAAGAATGAAAGGACTATTTAAACAAAAAATAATCACCTTATTAAGCCTGTTAAAAAGTCAATTTCTCAGAGTATAAATGCCCATTTTCCTCTATATACCTCATTACCAAAAGCCTTGGAAAAAGGTAGGCTAATGAAGAAAAGAAGCAGCCTAGCCTCAGGCCAATTTCTGCTTTTGGAAATGCCTGTGTAACTATTAATGAAACAGAATGCAGGTGTATATGCAAACCACAAGAAAGAATCTGGACTAGTGTTTAAATTGCACTTGCAATAGATCATGTTATTTGAATAACTCACTGTTTAGACACATCAGGCATTATTGTCTGTTCTTTTTTCCTTGTATCCACTGTCGGCTCTACAGGGGTAAGTACTACAGCAGCACATGAGACTATCGACTGGTACGAGTCTTCCCGGCAAACTGCAAAGGTAAAAAAAAAAAAATAAATCTCAGCGTTAAAGAGTGAACTCTGTATTTTAAATGTTTAAAGGAAAAAAAAAATACTGTCAAGACATACCGTGATAAACAAAAATGCTTACAATTCATCAGATTTCACTGTGGTCACCAATGAAAACTTCATTGTTTTTCACATTAAAGTTCTTGCTTGGCACTTTTTGGGGGACAGACTGATGCCCCATCATCATTCATCACATTCTACCTAGCACATTATCCGGTGTCAGTATGCTGTAGTTCACTGGTGTGTCCGAGTCCTCAAAGGACTTATATTTCCATAAATTACATCAGAAAATGATGCACTACTACTTCCTTTTCCATCACAAACTGAAAATGAGAGTGGAAATTATGGTTTTCAAACCTCCCACCTTCAAAAATTTCAGACTTTGTAAGAAAATAGATTTGAGAAAATGTGATTAGTGATTTATTTTGTCTTCAAGCATTACATCTCCCTTTAATCCAAAAATGCCAAACCTGAATGTTCTAGCACTGATATCTGATATATTGATTCATGCTTTCCATTTATACAAATTAGCTACGTATTACTGTGCTGAATGATATAACTTAGAAGATATTTAGAGCTAGAAGATTGATCATTATTTCAGCTGAGCATCTGGCTCAATTAGCACTAATAAATGAATACCCCAAAGTTCCTGACCTTCAAATACACAGCTATATTTGTTAAAAGTTATACATATTCTAAATTGCAAGTGTCACTATTAATTTAGCACTTAGCAGTCACCATTCCTACTGATTTTGAAGGTATAGATTTTCTTTACAGCCAAGGTGTACCTTTATGATCCAAATAAAACCTTCAATTAAGAGTTGGTTGTATTGAACAAAGCACAGTAGCTTCTTATATATACATTTATGGCACTGTTGTATGTATTATATATAAACAGAAAGAAATGTGGTGGCCTATCTTTTAAACAGAAAATCACAAAGTATTTGATATGTATAACATACAAAACTGTTTTACTGAGTGTACGCATGTACATACACAGCCAACAGTTCAGCATGTAAACCAAGGATGACCACAACAAATACTCAGCAATTCAAAACCAGAAAGAACCTACTTTATAAGCATATACATTTATGAAAGATTGTAACAGCTGGAAACACTGAACTACGGCATTTATTTACCAATAGAAAACTTGTTTCTGAAGACTTTCCTACTTTCCATCCTACATAATCGTGCCTTCCTAGTGCCCACAATAATGTACCTTTTGCACAACCTATGCTCCTCTTACAAAGGAAACAAAACCACTAAATCTTCATCCACATCGTCTTGACTGGGCCAAGAACAACTAACTGTGGTCTTTTACCCTGAGCATTCAAATCCCATTCAGCATGAATTCATCACACATCAGCAAGATAGACTGCATGCCCAATGAATACCCTGGAGCAATAACTGGTACTTTAAGGCAGCTAGAGAGTAGATTTTAAGGAACAGGTCAGAACAGGGTGGGATATAAAGGTCAGAAAAGCACAAAGGTGTTCCTTTCTTCATAGCAATTCTGAGCCATTCAGCAAGCAGCAAAAATGGTCACAGCACAGACAGATTCTGTCAAGAAGAGAACATTTTTATTGAGTACATGTAATTACATTTAACATATTCGATGTTCTCCAGCATCACTTATGCTTGTATTTTTAAATATTAACATGCACGTTGGGCTGAGTGACTATGATGCATAAACATGATTAGTACTGAAACCTTACCGTCATTTTTCTTTGGAACCAGAGCTACTCAAAACTTTGTCACTATCAGAGACACCCACCTCCAAAACTTGGTCATACCCAAAAAGAACTTGCTACACTGCCTACAGGTATACAAGTGGGATATACACTGTAGCTTAATGCATAACAAATTAAGAAGGGAACTTGTCCTAAGTATGTTGAATTAGAGAGATTACATAAGAAAGAAAGAATTTTAAATTATTTTTATACTACTATGTTACATGCAACCAGCAGACCATCTACTAGCAAGGTATAATTCGCTAGGCTCCAATTCATGTACAAAAGAGTACCTTCTCACTACAACCAGTGACCGAATATGTGCAAATAGGAACACTTATGTTTATTTGACTCTTGATTTACAGTCAAAGAATTCTAAAAAGATAGGTTTGTCAAAAGGCAATATTGATATTCAGTACCTGATTTTTAACCTGAAACACTAATAAAAAAGGGGGAGTAAAGGATGAAGCAAAAATGAATATTTCTTTAAAAGACCTATGGTACCACTTGAATATCTAGTTATTACTTTAGAACTTTTAAAATGGTGACTACGGAAGCATCACAAAGTAGGATTTTTCCTATATCAGCCACTGTCCATCAGAGCAGTTACAAAGATAGATAAAATACAAAAATCACAATTAACAAAGATGACATTACTAGTCTCCTACCCTGTACAGGAATTTCACAAATGAATAAAACTGTGAAATTGCTTCTGTTTAATAATTAATGCTATATAGGAGTTGTATAATCCCCTAATTTACAGCTGAAGACAAACCCAGTGGTCATCCAGTGGTCTGAGCTCATGGAATTTATTATCCTCCCATTCTAGACAGCAATACTTTTTGGTCTGGTTTTTGAAAACCACTACAATGCCTCCTTTTTATCTCAAGTTTCTGTGCACAGAGTCATAAGTCATTATGGGACAGTATAATTAACTAAAATGTCATGAAATAGCAAAAAGTAATTTTCACCTACTGGAGTGTAGTCTCTTAGTATCTGTTCATAACTTGCATTAAAATAATGAGAATGTGCTTGAATGTGGACCCTCAACTTTAACATTGATGGGAATGGGCACTGTTATACTTAAGGAGACTGTTTTCCTTTTGCACTTCAAACTTTTTTTGCATGTAGCTTCTTTTCTACACCTTTATTTTTAGATAAAAGTCGCTTACATTACCCCAAAAAAAGTCCATTAGTGATGTCCACATATCATACTCTTCATAAATCCAAATCTCTTAGATACTCAGAATACTACAAACCTCAGAATAATTAACCCTTTTAAACATAAAGCCTCTCACGTGTCCAATTTGCACTTTAACAGCCAGCAAGAACTTTACAAATTTAGCTTTACCACATGAATTGTAAGGAAAATAGAGAAAAGCAGAATTTTCAATCATCTGAGGTGGTGTTCGGAAAAGCCAAGAACATAAACAGCTGTCCCAGCCAATTACATTATTCCTGACATGAGTGTGCAAGTTAATTCCCTACTCACCACTCTCTGGGCCACCACTCAGCCAGTTTTCAATTCATCCCACACTCTGCTCATCCAGCCCATACATCAACAGGTTGTCTATGAGGATCTTACGGGAGACGGAGTTGAAAGCCTTACTCAAGTCATGGTACACAATATCCACTGCTCCAATAAAGAAACCAGTAAGATAATTCTCCCATCTATCAGCTACATTTTTGGCACACAAACATTACATACATGTTGTAAGTAGAGGTTCATTATCACACTTGCTGTTGCATACCTCCAGGAGTGTGGGAAAAAACTCTACAAGGTATCAACATAAAGGGAAACAATCAGCTAATTTTATACTAACTGTAGCAATTTCTTTAAGCTTAAGAGACTAATACTTAGTATCTCAGAATGTGTTATAAACCAAGTACTTCCTGAAAAAATAAGTCATTTGCATTCAAGTGAGATGGCATCATAAAGGACAACTCTACAGAAAAAGGAAACAACAGTCTAATATCATAATATTATTATAAAAGATATGTACTGCTTTTGAAGTTGCATAATTTCTCCCTAGATTCTTGAATTTATACTTTAATGATGCATACAGTTTGTTTTCTTCCATTGCCAAGTGTTTTAAAAGTACCCCATCTATTTATCACTAGGAGTGCTGGCCTGGATTTACTCTCATTGGTTTAAGCAGTCACAGAACATCATTCACTATCAAAATAGATCTCTACATCTGAGAAGAAAAACATTAGCTTTTTTTTTTTCCTTTGCTGTTTCTTTCAAGAACAATGAGAATGACTAATTAAACAGTTTTCTTCTACTTTGAACCAACCAGTGAAAAATTTTTATTTCCCTAAATAGCAGGACAGTAGGAAGCCTTCAACAGCTAGAATCTATCTCTCTGGAGAATAAAAATATTTTTAAGCTCTAGGGGTGTCATTTACAGTGTCTACTTCAAACATTGTTAATTGTATATATTTTTTCCCCATTTTTTTTTAGTAAGGAGAGAGAAAAATCTGGTTATCACCACTCACTATCAAAAAAAGTCTCCCTTGAAACAAGATGCAAGTGATGGTTAGATGAAATTAGCAGCAAATACTACCTGCTTAGAGAAAACAGAAGGGAAATGTTCATATGCAATGTGCAGTGAAGCATAAGGGACTCATGACACAGGGAGACAGAAAACAGTGAAGTATTTCTGGATTTGAAAAAGACGGGCACTTATTCTGACAATTCAAATTATTTACACTTGTGCCTGTAAAGTTTAAAATAATCATCTGTCATCGTTCAAGAGACAGATCAAATCTGGAAACAACTGCTGTTTCATACCAAAAAACCTTCTGCTTTGGTAAAAGCCAGGCAACCAGCCAGAAGCATGGAAGGTGCGAAGTACTTTCCCCTGAAATATCTGTCAGCTGCCACTGTAAAAGATAAAGGACTGAAGCATGGGGAAGCAATGTCTGGATCCCAAGTATCCAACCGCACATTCCTTTTACTACTGAAGGCCAGAAGATACACCAATTCTCAGTATAGGCATTAACATTTTGGAACAGTGTTTTCTAAAAATTACCCTGCCATGACAAGGCTCAGAAAATGAGCTACCCCCTGAGGTGCTAGGACAGGGAAGAGCTGCAAGATATGCTACCCATACACAGGTTTTTCATATAAGGAAAACATGAGGCAAAGAACTGTTACATGCAAAACAGAGATTTTGCTTAAAAAAAAAAAAAAAAAACAACAACACAAAAGCCAACCAATCTTTATAGAC